ATGATTTCTGAAGATCATGTGACACTGAAGATGCTGAAAATTCAGCTGCGCATCACAGGAATAAATTAGATTTTAATGTATATTAAAATAGAAAAACATTATTTTACATCATAATAATATTTCACAATATTACATTTTTTCCTGTATTTTTGATAAAATAAATGCAGCCTTGATGAGCAGAAGAGACTCCTGTAAAAAACATAAAAAATCCTTCTGATCCCAAACTTTTGACCGGTAGTGTGTATATATATATTCCCTTTTAAATTTTGAGTGAAACGTGATCTGCATATTTCAGACATGGTGAGATTCACTCTGAAAGCAAGTGATAAAACCAGCCAGAAACACATTAGAAAAGGTGAAATAAAACGGTGGAATGTTAAAACACGAGCGTCCGGCTGCTGGTGTTTGATTCCAGTGAAGGACACACAGTGTTTATACACGTCTGATCTCACGAGGCGCATTAACGTCCGTCATTCAGTGCGTGAAGCGCAGGTTGTAGAGCAGCTCTGCGGTCTGACACAGTGATTTGGGGTTTGCGCTGGAGAAATACTGACAAGCCAGTCCTTCCTCCAGCTCGGCGTTCCTCTCCGGCTCCAGCGAGCGCTCGGCGAACTTCATCATCAGCAGCGCACGCTTCACGTCCAGCCAGTTCAGCAGGCCGTCGTGCCTCGGCTCCAGCCTCCGCGCGCCGCCGCACTCCAGCAGATCCCGCCGCGGGCCCCACAGCAGCGCCTGCAGGATGCACCGGGCGTCCTGGATGTGGATGCGGCGTCCGGGGTCGGGCTCCAGCAGCAGGTGCGCGAGTCTCTGCAGGCCGGACGAGTAGATGGACGCGCTGGGGATTGGCGGCAGCTCGTCGCATCTGTAGTCGCATTTGGCGGGCGTGGCCTCGAACGGGTTGCGGCGGTGCAGGAGCTCATAGATCAGGATGCCAGTTTGGAACTCGTCGAATTTGCGGTACTGCGCGGCTGAGACGATTTCGGGCGCGAGGCGGGCGTGATCCCGCTTCAGACGCGGGTCGGTGCAAACTGCATCCTCGTCCGCGTCGCGGCGTTTCGCTTTGCCGAAGCTGCTGATGAGGAGGCGCGGGAGGCTGTGCTGCTGCGGGTCGGAGCGCCGGTGATGCACCAGCAGCAGGTTCTCCATGCAGAGGTCGCGGTGCGTGACCCCGTGCGCTTTGAGGTGCTCCAGTCCCGCGCACAGCTGCAGCAGCAGGAAACACACGCGGCGCTCGTAAACCTCTGGCTGCGCGCGGTGGAACGACTCCCACTCGCGGACGAAATCCGCCACGCTCTGGTGCGGGACGTCCCGTGTGATGACCACCACGCGCTCCTGCTCGGCCGGACCGCTCTCCTCGCTGGGTAGCATGCTCCGCGGCACGCACGCGATGAAGTGACCGCAGTCCTGCTGCAGGTTGAAGTGAGGCGGGACACTCTGCTGCACCGACAGACCGTACAGATGAACCTGCTTACTGTCCGGTGCCTGGCCTTTACAGATCTGATCAAACACACAGAGAAAACAGCCATGTTACAACGATAAATATCAATGCAATGATAAACTCAATTCACAATACATTGTTTCAAAGCAACTTTACAGAAAATGCTTGCTTAAAAGATTTTGGTGACACTTTGTTTGAAAAGTGACATATACATATTTTAATATTTAACATTTATAACGCATATTTCTATTTTAATGCAATAATTACTGTCTTGTAATGCACCTTATAATGTCGCCTTTGGCTTGCTTAGTTGGGGACGCTTGACTGATTGCACAGACACTATTGGAAGAGAACCGAATCATCAATGAACTGACTTTAGCTGAAAAATGACTCTGTTTTTGTCTTCTCGCATTATTAACAAACTATTTTCCTGTTTGACTCTGTGACACAATCTGTATTGTATAAAGCACTCTACAAATACAGCCAGAAACACATTAGAAAAGGTGAAATAAAACGGTGGAATGTTAAAACACGAGCGTCCGGCTGCTGGTGTTTGATTCCAGTGAAGGACACACAGTGTTTATACACGTCTGATCTCACGAGGCGCATTAACGTCCGTCATTCAGTGCGTGAAGCGCAGGTTGTAGAGCAGCTCTGCGGTCTGACACAGTGATTTGGGGTTTGCGCTGGAGAAATACTGACAGCAGAGCCAGTCCTCCAGCTCGGCGTTCCTCTCCGGCTCCAGCGAGCGCTCGGCGAACTTCATCATCAGCAGCGCACGCTTCACGTCCAGCCAGTTCAGCAGGCCGTCGTGCCTCGGCTCCAGCCTCCGCGCGCCGCCGCACTCCAGCAGATCCCGCCGCGGGCCCCACAGCAGCGCCTGCAGGATGCACCGGGCGTCCTGGATGTGGATGCGGCGTCCGGGGTCGGGCTCCAGCAGCAGGTGCGCGAGTCTCTGCAGGCCGGACGAGTAGATGGACGCGCTGGGGATTGGCGGCAGCTCGTCGCATCTGTAGTCGCATTTGGCGGGCGTGGCCTCGAACGGGTTGCGGCGGTGCAGGAGCTCATAGATCAGGATGCCAGTTTGGAACTCGTCGAATTTGCGGTACTGCGCGGCTGAGACGATTTCGGGCGCGAGGCGGGCGTGATCCCGCTTCAGACGCGGGTCGGTGCAAACTGCATCCTCGTCCGCGTCGCGGCGTTTCGCTTTGCCGAAGCTGCTGATGAGGAGGCGCGGGAGGCTGTGCTGCTGCGGGTCGGAGCGCCGGTGATGCACCAGCAGCAGGTTCTCCATGCAGAGGTCGCGGTGCGTGACCCCGTGCGCTTTGAGGTGCTCCAGTCCCGCGCACAGCTGCAGCAGCAGGAAACACACGCGGCGCTCGTAAACCTCTGGCTGCGCGCGGTGGAACGACTCCCACTCGCGGACGAAATCCGCCACGCTCTGGTGCGGGACGTCCCGTGTGATGACCACCACGCGCTCCTGCTCGGCCGGACCGCTCTCCTCGCTGGGTAGCATGCTCCGCGGCACGCACGCGATGAAGTGACCGCAGTCCTGCTGCAGGTTGAAGTGAGGCGGGACACTCTGCTGCACCGACAGACCGTACAGATGAACCTGCTTACTGTCCGGTGCCTGGCCTTTACAGATCTGATCAAACACACAGAGAAAACAGCCATGTTACAACGATAAATATCAATGCAATGATAAACTCAATTCACAATACATTGTTTCAAAGCAACTTTACAGAAAATGCTTGCTTAAAAGATTTTGGTGACACTTTGTTTGAAAAGTGACATATACATATTTTAATATTTAACATTTATAACGCATATTTCTATTTTAATGCAATAATTACTGTCTTGTAATGCACCTTATAATGTCGCCTTTGGCTTGCTTAGTTGGGGACGCTTGACTGATTGCACAGACACTATTGGAAGAGAACCGAATCATCAATGAACTGACTTTAGCTGAAAAATGACTCTGTTTTTGTCTTCTCGCATTATTAACAAACTATTTTCCTGTTTGACTCTGTGACACAATCTGTATTGTATAAAGCACTCTACAAATAAAGGTGACTTGACTTAATGCATTGACATAGTACTTATCTATTCATCGTTGCACATTTAGAAAGTATAATGCATTAAAACACGACAAAAACAAATTTTACAATGCATTTTAATTTTAGTTGCAATTATTTATGAAATTGCATTATGCATTACAACATACATTATGAATACCAAAAAGCTTGAAGAGTTACCAGATTTGATAATGTTTTTGAAGGAGCTTCTTCTGCTCACCAGGGCTGCATTTATTTGATTAAAAATACAGTAAAACTGTGAAATATTATTATAAAGTAAAATATCTGTTTTCTGTGTGAATATCTGTTAAACTGTAATTTATTTCTGTGATCAAAGCTGTATTTTCAGCATCATTACTCCAGTCTTCAGTGTCACATGATCTTCAGAAATCATTCTAATATGCTGATTTGCTGCTCAAGAAACATTTCTGATTATTATCAATGTTGAAAACAGTCGTGCTGCACAATATTTGTGTGGAAACTGTGATACATTTTATTTTTCAGGATTCACAGATGAATAGAAAGTTCATAAGAACAGCATTTATTTGAAATAGAAATAATTTGCGTTACATTGTAAATGTCTTTTCTGTCACTTTTGATCAATTTAATGTGGCTTTGATGAATACATTTTTTTTTTCGTAATGTTTGAATGGTAGTGCATCACAGTTTCCACAAAGATATTGGGCAGCACAACTGTGGGAATGGTGGGAAGGTTTCAAAAACATAAAATCATAATTATTCCACCATTCTGACCAGTAGTGTGTCCTCTCACCTTGACGGCGTATGTGTTGCGTGTGTCTGACGCGCAGGAGGCTGAGTAATACACAGCGTCTCCGGACACGCAGCAGGGTTTGTTACAGGTCAGCTTGAAGAGTGACCAGTTGCTCTCGTCGAATCTCAGCGTGTTCCTCTGGCCGCTGGTGAAATGCTCCTCACACTTGAGCGCCAGACGCCGCAGCGACTCTGCGTACAGGCCGCCCAGCTTCGAGTAGATGCCCTCGCGGCTGTCCATGTTCCTGAGCAGCGCGTGCAGCTGCAGCGTGGATCCAGCGGCCGGTGTGTTGAGCTGCGGCGACGAGCAGGACGTCACGTTCCCCAGACGAGGCGCGCGGCGCTCCAGAGACTCGCTGGACGAGTACAGCGGCCGCGGCTCCACCGGGCTGAGCGGGGCGGCGCTGGGGCGGCTGACGTTGGTCTCGGAGCCACTGAAGGGCAGGCGCGGGCGGGAGCGGGTCAGGGGTTTGACACCCGACTCGCTCGGAGCCGAGATGGTGCGGTTCACCAGCTTCTTCTGCGGTAACGGAGGCGGCTGCAGCTGATTCGCTAGGCTGTTGCTAGGAAATGTGTCGGGCTGCGGCGACGCTGGGGCGGAGCCAAACGGGCTGCTGGGAAATGGGGAGGGGCTGAAGCGGAGGGTGGAGTCTAGAGAAAAAGAGAGGGAGAAGAAACTACTTTAAATTTAATTGACAAAATTGATATTGACTGAATTAAAAGTTGTTTAATGGCATGACTGGGTTTGCATAATATTTATACAACACATAATTGTTATATACAATATTTATATCAAAGCTCTTTACACAAAACAAGTAATGACAAGAAAAAGATCTAACTATAACACATGAAAAAAAATAAAATGTGGAGGTGCCACATGTGATGGTCACATGACTGATATTCACAGTAACAGCATGATTATGAGTGTTATATTGAATTATACACTATATGTGAAGATTTTTGCTACTAAAACAGTAAAATATTGAATTGCCAGAGTTTGAAATATCTACTGTATACTGGATTCAGAATCAGTGAATCATATGATTGTGCTTTATTTCTAAATGATTAGTTTCAGACAGTCAAGAGAGAATAAAAAGTGTTTAGTGGAAATGAAACTATGTTCGTCTTCCTCATTTCTGTTTCTATATTCTAACTTACTCACACACTCAAACACACACACACACACACACTCAAACACAGTCAAATACTAGCTAAATACAAATACTAAAATAGAAGCAGAAACTAGGAAGGACAGGAGTACGGTAAAACAGATGAGTGGAACATAGACAGATAAAGCATCAGACAGACCACGTGTTACCTTTAGAGAGGCTGTTAGAGCAGTTATGAGGAGAAGAGGAACCAACAGCTAGAAATGCTGCAGAGGGAATGAGAGAAAGAGAACGAGAGAGAGAGAGAGGACAGAAGAAGAGAAGGAAGAGAGAGAGAAATTAGATGCTGAGGAACTGTGCTAAACATCCACTGATGGAGAAAATGAGAAACACCATCACCAGCATAGAGAGAGAGAGAGAGAGGGATTAAGGAGGAGTAATGAAGCACCTGACAGCAGTCACTGTCCCGTGAGTGCTCCTGGATTAAAATCTGGATTATAAATCCAGTCGCATTAGGTTTTAACACACACACACACACACACACAAACACACACACACACACTCAAACACACTCAAACGCACACACACACACACACGCACACTCAAACACACACACACACACTCACACTCAAACACACACTCAAACACACACACGCACACTCAAACAAACACACGCACACTCACACTCTCTCACTCACACTCAAACACACACACACACACTCACTCACTC